TTTTTTTTTTTTAAATTTTATTTTATTTATTTTGTTTTATTTTTTTTTTTTTAAATTGTAATTATCCCCCCCCCCATTTTTTGTCTCTATTATTTTCATTAAATATGAGATAATCATGAGGAGGGGGTTGGGGAGGGTGATGCCTTGTAATGTTATAGAAAACTAACCAGACAAACCTTGAACATTTTGAGACAAACCCCTGACAAACTGTGTACATTTGTACCTTCCTGCCTGTCTGTAGTCGACAAGGTGTCCCTGATCTTATCCCAGTGATCAAAGAAAATAGACCGATCGTTGCCCCAGTACCCTCGGGGCCAATCCAGGCAGTTGTTTACTTAGTTGTTAGCATTTCTAGGAGTAATTCGGAGCTCTTGCGGGATTTTCTCTTCTTTTTTTTTTCTAAAACCATCAGCTAACAGCAACGGTCGTTGGCGCTCGTAGTTAACAGGGGGCATTCTTGATCTAAGAGTTATCGCGGGGATTTTCTGAACCACCAGTTACCACAGGGATCATTGAACTAACATGGGTTCCTTGAACCACCATTTACCACAAGGATCATTTAACCACCATTTATCATAGGGATCCATGAATTACCATTTACCACAGGGATCAATGGATTACCATTTACCACAGGGAATCCATGAACCACCATTTACAACAGGGATCCATGAACCACCATTTACCACAGGGTTCAATGGATTACCATTTACCACAGGGATCCATGAACCACCATTTACCACAGGGATCCATGAACCACCATATACCGTAGGGATAATTAAACCACCATTTACAACAGGGATCATTGAACCACATCAAGCAGTCATCATTTAAGACTCAGCAACAGATTTGTTCATACGCATGTAAACCTAGATTGGTTTACGTATACACAACTATACATGAGGCCACATACGCACTCAGACACAACTATACATGAGGCCACATACGCACTCAGACACAACTATACATGAGGCCACATACGCACTCAGACACAACTATACATGGGACAACATACGCACTAAGAAACAACTATACATGGGGCAACATACGCACTAAGACACAACTATACATAAGGCAACATACGCACTCAGACACAACTAT